TTTTTTTTTTTTTTCTGCATGGAGGAATTAGAGCTTTTTACGAACTTCCTTTAACTGGTGTTAATGTAATTACTAAACAAAATTGCAATTTGTTTTCAGTAACTCTTTCTAGTTTTGTCTTATTGTTTTTTTTTTTATCAGCATAGTTTTGTCTTATTGTGAGGGGTAAATTAGATTCAAACTTAATTTTCTATCTTTATTTTTTCAGTTTATGCCTGAAAATAGTTTTCTATTTCTTTATCTTATGTTCTTCATTATTTATCATTCAAGCTCAATTTTCTTACTTGTTCAAATATAAAGGTATGTCCATTGCCTATTTTCAAAAAAATATAAACGCATCAAGTACGAGATGAATTTTATGCGATATATGAGGATTAAATTTTAGTGTAAAAATTGATTTAGATTCACTCTAACTATAAATTAAAAAAAAAAAAACTAAAACTAGGATGACACATTTTATAAATTTAAAATAATGTATAGTTTAATTTGTAAAGTATATTATATTTTAACTTTTCATTTATTCTGAAGTGGATTCCACTTGCCATGTTAACCCGCAACGACCATGCAATGAATCTTGCTTGTCGGCAACCGGACTTGTCTATTTTTTTCGCGACAATTAAATTACGAACTTTCTCTTCCAAAACTAAAAGCAATTAATCTAATTGGATTGACTTGCTTCCGCCCATGACTTTCATCTCGACATACACATGGAGCTTCTTCATCATGCTTTGTAAATGACTCAATTTTATCATCATGCAAGAGATGAGATGGATTAATTCTTATGTAAAACAATGGATTGATTTCTTGAAATTTTCTATGTATGAGTTAAAGTATCAATTCTTCAGTTAAAAAAAGTTAAAATATTAATTCTATCCTTTTTAAATATAATTCTTTTTTTATTGCCCAATTAATCAAACAACTACTTTAAGAGAAAAAAATGCATATGGTCCAAATTCAAAATCAATTTTATTTGATTTTGCCGGCCAAAGTTGAAGGATTTTCGATAGTGACTAACACGTGGTATTTTCCTGTGGTTGAAACTTGAAAAATTATTCAACATTTCTTGAATGAAGGATATAGAAAGGTTTTATTTTTATTTTTTAAAAAATTTTGGATTGCATAATAGGAGAAAACAGTCTTTCATTTCTTAATTTACCTTACATACTATATAACTCCAATTTAGAATCTTTTACTTTTAATAAAAGAAGATTGTCACCAAATTATTTATATTGTTGGCATTTAATTATTTTTCTTATGATTCTATAGGAAAATGATGGGTGCACACCCAGATCCCACACCCGGGTGTGCACCCCCCATATAAACAAAAAAAAAAAAATGCCCATCATTCGGTCAAACTTTTTTTTTTATGTGGGGGGTGCACACCTGGGTGTGGGATCCAGGTGTGCACCAATCATGGTCCTTCTATATAATACACATAAATATCAATTTATCAATTATACCTTAATGATAATCAACACAATGAGGACCACCTATATTTGAACCGCAACCTAATATGCTCATCCCTTGGAGAGTTGAAGGGAGAATAGAGATACGGACCAAAGGGGGGTGGGGTTTGTGTATGTTCTTCAAACAAAATTCATTTGTAGTGAGAGAGAATATAATTTGGTTGCTTAACATTCTAATTCTTTCAAGAGAAACAAATATAGGAAAATTTTCATCAAGTTATTATTAATTAAAAGGAGGATGTATGAAGGATACCCAACAACTCCTAGAGAAGCAAAACATTTTCAGGAGGAAAATGATTGGGATGCACTCAGTTCAATATATTTTTTAATATTTGTCTGATTGAACTATTAAAATATAATATAAATAATTAAGTGTAACCCATTTTAGTTGGTTTCTACATATGTATGCATAGGTATGTCTTTAAATTTGTTTGTTATTAATTTCATATCAAAAAAATAATTTTTTAATAAATGTATTGTGTAGTGTATTAAATCAGAGTGTGTACCAATTAATATCATTTTCAAAAAGAAAAATAATTGGTATACATTTGATTCAACACATTTTTTAACACTCATCCTAGTTTAACTATTAGAATATAATATAAGTATTGCCACTTTAGTTGGTTCTTGCATCTTTTATAGGTTGCTGGATCTTTAAATTTGTTTATTTTTAATTTCAGATAAAAAATAATATTTTTTTATGAGTGTATTATGTAATATATTAAATTAGAGTGTGTATTAATTCGTAATTACCATCATTTTATCAAAAAATAAAATGCCTTAAAATCCAAATTAATAACCGTTCATCTTTTTGACCAAACAGCTTATTCCTCACATGCATGTACATTTTACACAGCCCTTATTACCACTAGGTAGTTGGCCTATCCCATCAAATAAAAAGGAAAAAAGAAAAAAAAAACTACTATCTTATCTCATAATTAGTTTCATAATCTATTTGCAGTTAATACTAGTAGCATTTGAAATTAATTCGTTTATTGGTGGCCTGTATGATTCAGTTAAGTATATTACATGATCATGACGTACACTCTTCGTAATTGATTTGGAAAATTTGCGCCATTTTTCTCTATAAAAGGGCAGCTGGCTCTCTTTACTGCTTTATCTCACTCTCATTTTGTGCCCAAAAGACCTAGAGGCTGCTAAGAGGGGTCTGGTTGCCATGGGGGATATTGTTTTGACTAGAGTTCTGCCTGGTGGTTCTATAAACACTGGTGTTCTTAGTGTCTCAAATCGATCTGATGTCGAACGCATGCCTACAATTGAAGAGGGACATAATTCAGCAGTGCTGGAGGCAAGAGATGCTCGTCAAGAAGGCCTCATCCATCGTTTCTACTTTCAAAGGAGGGCGGATGGAACCAAACAAACTCTAACAGGCATGAAGCAATTCTTTGACCTTCATGGATTGCAAGCTAAGGATCGAATTAAAATCTATCTTGTGCAAAAAGAAGTTAAGTTGTTTGGAAGAGTCATTCGTCCCGCACTTTATTCAATTGATTTTGAGAGGAGGCTCTAGTCTAAGTAAATAGGTATGTTTAGATTGGAATGTTATATATATATATATATATATATATATATATATATGTATACCATGAGCAAGTGGATAAGTTGGAAATGGATTATTTCAGTTTAATTAGAAGTCTTGGTTTCAAATCTCGGGAATGCAGCTCCGTTAAAACTCGTAAAGAAGAGTTTTGTCGTTCTTTGAGTCCTGCCCGATTCGAATCCGAATTAATCGGTGGTCTAGTGAGCTTCCCAATACCAGGTGGTCCATACCAAAAAAATATATATATGTATGTATATATATATCTTTATTTTTTTTTATCAGTGTGTATCTTTATGTATTGAATTCTTTTTTTTCTGTTCAATCTATTTTAGGTTGTAAAAAAAGAACACTTGAATATGAAATAATCTTCATCTAGAGGTTTGGCTCTTTTTTTTTTTTCTTTTCTTTTCTGAAAATAAGCTACTTTGATCGGAATCATTTTGTTATTCCGTGTGCATGCAGAATATTGTTTCTATTAGAGTGGCCTTGGTGTTAATTTTTTTTTTTTTTTGAGGAATTGGTGTTGGTTTTGTGTACATGCTTTCTGATGATAAGTAAAAGAAGAAAAAAGGGGCCTAGGTGCATGATCGATAAAATGGTCGGTCCTGTTGCAACATCCATTTGAAAGTGGAATTGTTCTTTTCCCTACTTTTAGTTGTCATGAGAATTAATTAATTATACTTCAACATGAATGTAGGTCCCGCATATTAAATGATACCTACGCTAATTGATTTTACTTCCAAAAAATTATCTTCCATCGTTGCCCCTAACTCTCTTTCTTCTGGTAATTGGCTACATATTTTTAATTCCTTCTTCCCTTGAAGAATCCTAAGGGATGAAATTTGTAAGATCAGAAAGAGACTTCTTTGGGTGAACATCAGTGGAAAAGGAGGAAAGTAGGAAGCAATATTTTTATTTGTTAACGATTTGATATAAAAAAACTATTTAAAATTAATTTATTAATGGTTTAATTCTTAACTTTTATTTGTTATTTTCAGACTATTAAATAAAATTTTTTTATCAAATATTTAGTTTTTAACTATTTCAAAATAGATAATTTATCAAATACTAATCTTATAGCAATATAAAAAAATACTAACCATTAAATAGTCCCTATACTTTTATTATTTAGTTTAATTTTTTTGTCATTTGCTTTGTTACCGACAATATCAGTTCCTAGT